AGGGTTTAGGGTTTAGGGTTTAGGGTTTAGGGTTTAGGGTTTAGGGTTTGGGGTTTGGGGGCTGGGGTTGGGGTTGAGGCGAGGGGTGCGGGGTTGGGGCCTGTGGTTTTAGCTGCTGCTTGGGGAGGTGCAGCGCGTGCTGCTGGGGCCGCCTGATCGGTTTGCTGCTGCTGTTGCTGTTGCTGCTGCTGCTGCTGCTGCTTCGCATGCTGCAGCGGCCGTGGGTGCCGTTGTTTCAGCTGCTGCTGCTGCTGCGTTTAGTGCTGATGCATTATTTGTTGCTGTTGCTCGCGGCGCGCCGTTGCTGCTGCTGCATTTGCCGCTGCTGCTGCATGTGCTGCTGCTGCTGCACTTGCTGCTGCTGCTGCTGCTGCAGGGGAGCAGCAGCAGCAGTTATTGTTTACGACACAACAAGCCGCGAGTCCTTCGAGGGGGCGAAGTCTTGGGTGGCAGAGCTGCAGGCAATCAGCGACCAGTCTTCCCTCGTCATGGGTCAGCTAGGGTTTAGGGTTTAGGGTTTAGGGTTTAGAGGCTAGGGTTTAGGGTTTTCTCTCAGGCGTTGCTAGGGGCGGGGCGTTGGACCTGGCGCTCAAACTTGAGAGCTAAGGGTTTCCACTCTAGTTTGCACTTTAGGGTTTAGGGTTTAGGGTTTAGGGTTTAGTGTGAGTTTTGTGGGGCCGGCTCGCAGCTCTGGCAGGAAACAAAATCGACTTGTCTGCTGAGAGGGCTGTGAAGACCCAAGTCAGTCCATTTAGGGTTTAGGGTTTAGGGTTTGGTGGGAATTGTGAGTGCTGGGGCCGCTGCAGCAGGCTCTGCTGCTCCTGCTGCTGCTTTTAGCACTTTTGTTGCTGCTGCTGTGCTGCTGCAGTGGCTGGTGTGCTTGCTGCTGTTGTTGTGCTTGCTGCTGCTGCTGCTGCTGCTAATGATGCTGCTGTCGCTGCAATGCCTGTCGCTGCCGCTGCTGCTGTTGCTGCATTGCTGCTGCTGCTGCCGCACTGCCTGCTGCTGCTGCTGCTGCACTGCCTGCTGCTGCACTGCCTGCTGCTGCTGCTGCTGCTGCTGCACTGCAACAGGAGGCTCAGCAATATGCTGAAGAGAAGGGAATATTCTTTATTGAAACTTCAGCAAAAACTGGACAAAACGTAAATGAGCTCTTCTACGAAATCGGTAGGTCATCAGGTGTACGTACACCTCAGCTAAACCCTCCTTCAGGTGTACACCTCAACTAAACCCTCAACTAAACCCTAGTTGAGGTGTACATACACCTCAGATAAACCCTAGTTGCGCTAACCTAGAGGCTTTAGTTGGAGTGTCTGTACACCTGAGCTGCTTTTTCTTTTGCTTCTGCGTGTCGCTGACCTCCACTCTCGCTGCTGCTGCTGCTGCTGTTGTTGCTGCTGCTGCTGCTGCTGCTGGACC